ACTATTAAGCATTACTAAGGTGTCGATGAATATGTAGTTCATCATTTAGAAAACATTACTCCTCCTATAGATGAGGGATTAACCATTACTAAAGAAAGTTTTACATCAGGTCCTGTTTTTTGGGAGCTGTTAATGACATCATTTAGAAAGTGGCATCAACTATTAACAGTGTATTTAGATGCACATTAATACAGACACAGCTTATAAAATGAGCTAGTTGTTTGTGAGTGTGATAATAGAAACGTTTCCATAGCTGTTTATTTCATATGGTAATTCATGGTTAATTCATACAGTTACAAGTTGTTAGTTAACTCTTTTGTGTGTACATCATCTAAAGTTAGGACGATCTATGTCTTACAAAGCATTTATAGAATGAAATAGTGCTTGGAGAGAGGCTGGAGAGCAACAACCTATCCTGTGGAAGCTTCACAGTACACTTTCCGAAGGGCGTGGCAAGGATTTGTGGCAGGAAAAGCCAAAAGTGTCCTGAAAGAACTTGCTAAAGTTATATATGATGTTATATACGAGCTATTTCATCATTAATATACCACTAACATTAGTGTATATGAATGGCATGCTAAGGAAAAGTCATGCTTTAGAAATAATGAACTAAGTATTTATTAATACTTCCCTAATGCTTTTTAGTGTGTAGTTATCAGAAAAAGCTACCTCTCTCCCTTTTTTTAACTTTATGTTAGAATATGTTCTGAAAAAATCTGGCAGCTTGGAATTTATCTGAGGAATCATTTGAGACAAAAACAGGAAGATTGATTTAAGTGCCAATGTGAGGCAGCTAGATGAGACTGCAGCTCTGTAGCTCCATCTAGTGTTTGATTGTAGTACATCCAGAAATAGCTTGCAGACGTCACAGCGTCTCGTTCAATCGCTCCATCAGTAGCACGTGCAAAGAAAGCTGGAGTCACCATGTCCCTCCTTAAACTCCGGATGTTTGTCTGAGGGATGTAAGGAGAACTTCGGCACAGAATAGCAGGACTACGTTATAAAATCTCAGAGTCGTTAGGGTAAGCATACGATTGTCTAAGGAGGTTGGAATTTTTAAAAAAGCGTCTGGACTTCTTTAAGTTTCCTTGAAGACGTTTCGCCTCTCATCCGAGAACCTTCTTCAGTTCTAAGAGCAACTGATGGGGAGTCGCAGATTTTAAGCCCTATGGGAGTGTCCCCAAGAGGGTCGTGGACCCACTATGGATCCTCTACCTAATCACACGAGCCAAGTTGCGAAAAGGTGTGGTTTACAATCAGCCAAGGTTGGTTCGGGTGAACCCAAATTATAGATGGCAGACAATTGGTGTCGTAAACCACCGTTCAAAAATGGTCGTTCACAGTGGACATAAATGGCTTCTTTCACTCCTCTTTCAAACCATCTGTCTTCTCTGTCCAAAATATGAACACTGGCGTCCTTGAAAGAGTGACCTTTGTCTTTTACATGCAGACGGGCAGCCAAGTCTTGTCCCGTCGAGGTGGTGGGACAATATTCAATAGCTATTTTGAATCTATTGAAAAGTGATGCTAGGTGTGGTTATAACAATTTGGAAGAGTTTTTGTGGATCTGTGCCCACGCTGCAGGGGCGCCTCCAGAACGGTTTCATAGGGGTGGTCATATGAAGGCCACCAAAAATACTGGGGTGGAACACCAAAAACAGAGCAGTGCAGGGGCACAGCGGAGGGGAGGGGCTGACGACGGGAAATTGTAAGGGACATACAAAGTGGGCAAATTTTGGGCGTGGCCAGTGCTCCCCCTCGGTGCTGCCCCTGCTATGCTGTCTAGTGTGAAGGTAACGATCACAGTGCACAGGACTGTGCTAAAGCCCCTCAGACTTTCTGGTCCTTTTTTATTTTCAGTTCAGTGCTTGTACCTGACCATTTTAAAATAGTTTATTTGTTTGTTTGTTTTTTTGTTGTTTGTTTCTTGTTAATCAAAAAATGTCAAATACAATGCAGTCTAATACAGTATTTTTGCATCAACATGGCTATTGATAAATAGTTATCAGCTGTTCTGGCATATCAGGACAACTATGCAGTGTGTCGTTAAAAAACAACAAAGAAAGAGAAATCTGGACAAGTTGAGGGCAAAAGAAGAAGTAGTAGGCTTAAACAAATATTTACAGCAGGTGAACATTATTAAGAAATTTTACAAATCCAGCATAGACCTGACATAAGACCTGACATAAGACCTGACATAAGACCTGACATAAGACCTGAGAAATGCATCTGACCCTTCAGTTGACCCATTTATGTTTTCCTGAAGTTTCATCAGAAGGGGTCTCAGTAAAAGGGTGGCTGTGATAAAAGTCATTCTTAATGAAGGGAAACAGGAAGAATAGGCTGAGGTATGCCACATTACACAAAATGAGGAGTGGCTCACTCTTGTTGTACAGTATTCTAAGCCTACAGCGTTTAAATGCATCTTTATTTTAATTTCTTTATGCTAAAACGTTGCTACATATAAACACTAATATTGAACTGTTTAACATTTTTAGTACATTTGTTTAAGAGCAAATAAATATATTAACAAATACACAATTCAAATTGGATATTTTTCTGTATTCAGTAGCCTACTTTGCTTTTTTTGTGTTATATGAGTACAGCAGGTTTACAGCAGTAATATATATACAGCAGGTTTACAGCAGTAATGTATATATATATATATATATATAGATAGATAGATAGATAGATAGATAGATGGATATTAGAAAGAAAGAAGAAAGCTGATTAAGAAACACATGCTGTTACATGTGAAACAGCCTTGCTTGCCATCCTGTGTTGTTCTATCCAGCGGATCTTTTAACCATTAATCATTTATTATCTGACTACCTCAGCCTTCCTAGAGGAACCTCCCCTGCCAGGTGAAATCCAGAACAAACATCCCCTCATTGAATGCGGTGGAGTCAGTGCTGCCGTGGTATGCAGTGGTTTCTGGGACTGTTCACCTCTGCAGGGCCCACTAAGACACTGGGAGCGCGTCTCTCATACAGGTGTGTTTTCAGTACCGGGAGCTGTCCGTGGTTTTGAATTGCAAAGAGAACCACTGGAGCTATTCCCATCTCACTGGAGCGAGCACTTGCTAAAGAATGAGGACTTTGTCAGCGGATGTTTTTGAGCAGGACACTGAAGGTGCTCACTTGTTAGTTTTTTAACTCCTTCATTTAAATTCTCTTTTTTTTTTCTTTCTTTCTTTCCTTCTTTTGAGAAGCTCTTCCACCTCTCGCCATGCTTCCTGCTCAGGAGGCAGCCAAAATCTACCACACCAACTACGTGCGTAACGCCCGAGCCATGGGGGTGCTCTGGATCGTTTTCACCATCACCTTCGCCGTCATCACCGTGGTGGTGTTCATCCAGCCCTACTGGATCGGCGACAGCGTCAACACACCGCAGGCCGGATACTTCGGCCTCTTCCACTACTGCATCGGGAACGCGCTCACCTCGGAGCTCACCTGCAAAGGGAGCGCGCTGGACTTTGGCTCCATCCCGTCCGGCGCCTTCAAGACGGCCATGTTCTTCGTGGGGATCTCCATGCTGCTGGTGGTGGGCAGCATCGTCTGCCTCAGCCTCTTCTTCTTCTGCAACGCGGGGAGCGTCTACAAGATCTGTGCCTGGATGCAGCTGGCTTCCAGTGAGCTTCAGGCTGTGACTAAAAAAGTTTCAAGAGTTTTTAAGTGTGTTTAAATTACAGGGTAGATCTCACAGTAAGAGTTTACATTATTGGAAAGTAACACCATCATCATGGTGCTACCAGCATCACCATGTAGGCTCCAATTAAGAGAAACATCATTTTAAAACTGAAAATAGCCTATGTATACAGTACATTTAGTCTACTCCACTATATTAGTATTTTGCAGATAAAGACTGGCACTAATCGAGCACGATTAAGAGGCTTAACAGTTTTATATGATGTACTGATCATACAGACGTAGAATGCAGTTAGTTAGAATAGATAAATTGGAGAAGACTCCCACTACCCATAGAGCTTGCATGTAGATATTATTTTCATAATTTTGCTATTGTACGGTTATATCTTGTTTATGTATTTTAAAAATGTATTTATTCATGCAAGTCTTCATGTAAGTATTTAAAAAAGCCAAGGAAAGGAATTAATCCAGCTAATAAACAGTCAAAGTGGAAACTAAATGAATACACATTAAGCTAAGGTTTAGGAACAGATCTGTAAGAAGGTTGTGAAGGATAATGGTGGCTCACAGCTGTAAACTCAGGGTCTGAAACATGTACGAAAGCCCAAAGCTGAAACGAAAAGCTATGAATTTAAGCATTTGGTGACATTTCTGTAGTTCCCTGCAGACTCGCAGACACAGACAGAGGTGAAACTTGATTCTGTTTGAAACATGAAGCAGTTTGTGAGCAGATGTACCTGCGAGTGAAAGGAGAGGCCTGTAATGAACCAAGTAATGAGATTAACCCGGAGGTGTGCTGTTACACTTTCTCCCCTTTCGCACGTGTTCTTGTAAATCCATCTTCATGAGAAGCAATGTTATTTTGGCTCTGACACCAAGTTCATTTTTAAGCATATTTTGATGCAAGCTTTGAGAGGGCTGTTTGAAAATTGCTGTTTTGAGGGCCTTCTTTGGACTGAGTGGATGCTTATCGGGTCTGTTAGGAGGATGGGATCATTAATTCGATGAACCAGAGGCCCCTGAGGTGTGAGCTTAATAAAGTGAGTTTAAGGAAAGAATTTTGCTGTATTAGTTTAACTGAAGGGGTCTTTCTAATGTATTCAAATATGTAGTGGATTTTAAAGAGGACTTGATAAAGTGAGCCTCAGAAATGCATGAAGATGACAGGTTTTGTGAGGATCAGAAAGTGAGAGCGAGATGTGAGGCAAGTGTGTGCTGTGCTGCACCTCCTTGTGCTGAGGTGGGACGGCAAGAGGTCTTAGCTGTCTGTCAGTGGAGTCAATAATAGATGAACAAGTTCATCTTTCTTGAGTTGAGATGCTCTGGAGTTGCTAGGCAACTAAACTCTGTAGGTGTGTGTGTCTACCTGAATGAACAGTGTATATTTAATTTCTCTGGTGGTTTCACTGTCATTTGTTGCCTGAGCCTGTCAAAAGCAGCAAGATGGTCTGTCACAGTGAGCACATCTATTCATTTTTACAGGTTTCCCACCACAAATCAATGCATGTTTTTGGACTTTGAATAAAAAAATTTCAAAACACTAGTAAGATAAAAGTAAAACCATCACACAGACAGAGCTGAAGTCCAGCACTCGTCAGCCTGTGCCTTCTCTCCTCTCAGGTACGTGCATGGTGATCGGCTGCATGATCTATCCTGACGGCTGGGACTCGGATGAGGTGAAGCGCATGTGCGGCCAGCGGACTGACAAGTACACACTGGGCAACTGCACAGTGCGCTGGGCCTACATCCTGGCCATCATCAGCATCATGGACTCCCTCATCCTCTCCTTTTTGGCCTTCAGCCTGGGCAATAGACAGGACAAGCTGCTGCCCGAAGACTTCCAGGTGGAGGAAAAAGGTGACCAAAGAGGAAGTGAGGGGTGGGGAAGGATAGTGAGGGGATGCTTTTCCTTAAATCTTAGCTGTGTGTATGGTGAGAACAACACTATATGAGGACGTATTTGTATCCTTCTTCAGTTATTATTGGCTTATATTTACACCAGCGATGTCTCTTCTTGACTACAGATAACGCATAGAGCCCAGTGGACACTGACATGAATGGATGAGATTTTATGAGTGCCACTGACTTCAGAGGATATCCCGAGGCTTCGAGTCACTTTGAAGAAATAAGAGTCCATCTCTGCCTCAAAATGAGCTCATCAGAGTCACTGCCCATCCTCATCTCCAAGGCTACAGCTTCAGATTGCCGTCAGTAAAAGCCACTTATAGATCAGATTTAGCTCTCACTTTTATTTGCTGCTTCACATTTTTTAAGCATTTAGATTTTTTAAAATAAATGTTAATTGCTGAAATGTTTTCATCATTTTGAGTTTTGAGCCTGACAGTATTAGCCACTGTTGCCTTCTCTCTATGTGAGAAATCTAATGGCACTAACAATAAAATGATACCCAAGCTGATAACATTTGGTTTTGTGCATCTGTAATTTATTTTTAGCATTCATGCTCTCTTAAGAGACATATTTCCATATGCATATACAGTAGATATTTGACTTAAGGGATGATTTCACATCTGTAAATACTGTTAGGCAGCATCTTCCTAAACCTAAGTGTCTTCATTTGACTCCACCCATTACGTGTGATACTCTCACATGGGTTCAAATCCCTGCACATACCCTGCACTACGTTGCTGCCAGCTTAAAGACCATTTTGTGCTACTTCTATTGGGCATTTGTGTTTTCACATGCATCTGTGTTCAGTGATGGAGAGAATATTTAAGTGGAAAAAAAACTGTGGAAAGCAATGACATAAACAGCCCAGAGAGACTTTGAAAATTATTTATTCTTACTGCCTAAAGAAAAAAAAAAAAATCAAATGATGAGACATGGACAGTCGAGCCTTTATAGAAAAACAAGCAACATGTTTCTGATAGGACTGAAAGGAATATTACAATAACTTTAAGTACAATCTATGGTTTTCATATCCAGCACCTTCTTATACACCTGAATACACAGCTTTAAAGATAAAAAAAAAAAAGTGTAAAAAAACTGACTGTGCCCTCACTCTGTTCCAGCTTCAAGCTCAAAAAAAAAGGAGAAATCAAAGTCCGACTCTTTGGTACACTGTACTGTACACTTGATGTGAATCCACCTATCGCTGGATTTGACTGTGAATGTGGGAATTAAACTTATCAGGTAAAAAAAGCAACCCGGGTGTAAAAGAGCATTTGGCCAACTCATGCATGAAAAAGAGAAGGGCTCTGATTTTTTTTCTTCACATTATAATGTGTCAAGTACTTCTCTTAAGTCAACATAAACTAATGCTGAAGCTAAAAATCTTTACTTTCACAAGAAACCGACACAACAGTTTGGCTATCAATGTGATTCTGAACTCCCGATGTATGACCTGCACCTGTATACAAATGTAAAAAGTTCTCTGATAACGGTGCTTTGAAAGCTACTAGCTGCTCTTCATTCCAGTAAGCAATATGTAGTTATCAATTTTGAGCTCTCTGCACTCTGTTTAAAGGCTTAAAAGCTGGTACACCTAACATGATGACGAGCAAACAGACAAATTTGACTTATAAGTGATCTATATGATAATCGAAAGTGGTTCTGATGGTGACTGTTACAACTCTGTTAGCATCCTGTACCTTTCTGCGTTTGTAGAAAAATGTCCTTTTAAACCTGATGATCTCTTGTGTCTAAAATACAGAGAATAATGAGCAGAAGAGAAGAAGCTGGAGCTGGCAAAAAAGGGAAAATAAGATCAATAAGTTCTATTCAGCCAGTAACAAAAAGTCATAAATACTGAGAGAGTACTTTAAGCCTGTTTTATTCTCCTTCCCTAACAGAACAGAGATTCAGCAGCAGTCTGTCTATCGTCTCAATGCTTCCCGATGAATGTAAGTAGACCCGTGAGAGCCGTGACAACAGGCTACAGGCACGATGGAATCACAGGCTCTCACAGAAATGGAAGTATTTGCTTACTGTACGTTTTCAAGCTTAAGCCCTTCAAACCTATCTTATCCTTTTCACAATATGCAGCTGTGTGTACAGGCGTCCTCTAGGATGAGAGCCATGGGTGGGAGAGGCACTGGGCTGCAGTGGCTCTTCTTTCAGGCACCAGGTCCAGCATGGGAAGCAGGAAGCTGCTGAAAGAGTGGGCCTCCTCTTTGGACCACTCATACTTTTCTACCAGGACATCAAACAGACCCCAAGGCTTCAACTTGGTGATGTGCCGGAGATCGCCTGGGGGAAAACACATTTAAAATTCAATCTGTTGCTTCATCGACACAAACAATCACTTTTCGCAGTCGTCAATCACAACAATAGACCTCCACATTTTAGCCAACAACTAGACAAACACGTCCCTGTTTACATCAACAAAGTGAAGCAGGTGAACAGGTTCAGTTTCCTGGAAACCACTCACACACACAACCACAGCATAAAGACAGCTCACAAAGTACACTACTTAACAAACTTTAACAAGAATACATTCCCATCTAAAGCTCTTGTTTGCACAGAAAAGCAACAGACAACATCTTGTCTTAAGGAATCGCAACCCAGTATGAATTATGCACACCCACCAGCAGAACGCTCTGCAGGCGGTTGATTAAAACCACCCAGAACATCACCAGCACCAATCGACAGAGCATCACTGATCCTGATGTCATGAAGTGTCTGCAGAGCCCAGAGCAATGCAGAAATATCCACTGCGACTTTGCTGCAGTTTCTTCCTTCAGGCTGTGAGACTACTGAACTGATCCTCCTCACGTCACCACAAAAATCATGTTCCATTTATTAATATTAAGACTAAAATACATTTTTTTAATATTTGATTTGTAATGTAACGGGCTACATCTTCAAGTTTATTATACAAGCATGTGTTGAATAATGACATTTAAATGAATCTTGAATCTATTCACCACCCATGTAACTGAACATGACTATATGGGATCACATGTCACAGAGCATGTAGGAACAATCTGAAGTGAATTCATAGGCTTCAAATCTATTTATCTCCATTTTATATTCATAACTATAATTATCCTGGTATTGTACTCTTAGTGATTCTATAACAAGCCTGAGTATCTCTTGAGTAAACACGCAGTGGGATCTCTTACTGCTGCTCATGCTGCACCTTCTCTGTAGACTTTGTGGGGATAAATCCACTGCACCACCTCTATAAACTTGAAATAGCTGCACTGATTATAATTTGCTAGTTCAAACCGAGCAGATGGCTGTTCCCTTGAGCCATCAGGTGTTGGGCCTAAAATAGAAACTTCTGCACCTGAGAGTATATTAAGGTTGAACTGGATGTAGCTGCTGCAGAGAGCTGGTAGCAGGCGGCCATGTTTACCTTTCTTGGTGAAAAACTCCTTGGAGTATTTGCCTGCTAAGATCAGCTTCCGAGGGACTTTGCCTAGCAGCTCGATGACCAGCGCTATGTGATCTACAGTGAGGCGGCAAAACACAAACACACATGGACTTCATTACTGTTTCTTCAGTATAAGACATAAGTCACAATATGTCGAAACAAGGTGTAGGAGGAAGCTCATCTTTGCTGGAACTGCTCTCTAGTTAAACTTAGATATATGGATGTTTGGACCACACCAACCTTCATCTCTGGAGTAGTCTTCTCCAGAGTGGGGTTCAAACAGGTAATCTCCAGTAGCCAGCTCAAAGGCCTGAGGAAAGAAGTATATAAGAACTCGAATACAAAAAAAAAAAAGAGAGATCATACTCTCCCACTGGCTCCCTTCTAAACCCAAACTACAATTTAAAATCCTTCTCCTAAAATACAAAATCCTGAATGACAAAGCTCTATCATAAACCTAATAATGAGACAATATTCCCATACAGCACTTTGATCTCTGAGGAGAGGATTTTTTTCAGTTCCTAGTTTTCAGAAGTAGAATGGGAAGCAGTGTCTTCAGCTATCAGCCCTCTCAGTTTGGATTCAGGAGATAAGATGCTTCTCTCTTGCAAGGTTAAGTCTAATTTTTTTTCTTTTTGATAAAGTTTATAATTAGGGCTGAATTAGGGGATCTTAGACCATCTTTTTAGATCTGCTGCTTCAGGTTAAGGTTGCTTGGAGACTTCCCACGATGACCTAAGATCTTCTCCACTCTCCATTAATTTATATCATAACCTGTTGCCTGCTGTCTTGGACAGTTTGTGTTTTGTCCGGTTTGTTGTTCATGGTGTCTCTATATTCCTCTTTTCCATGTTCTCTTTCCCTTCAACCAGGGGTTTTGACACATTGTTACTCATCACACTGAAAGCTTCTGCATAACATAAGTTATGTTAAGTTTGCTTTTCAGTGGGGGTTTGTGGGATCAGTTCATTTGTATACAGGTGTACTGTGTGTGAGTCTGTTTTACCATGCATGCTGTGCTCCAGATGTCTGCTGGTGTGCTATAGCCGGCTCCTATCAACACCTCAAGGGAGCGGTACTGCCGTGTCTGGATGTCATCTGTGAAATGTTTGTGCTATAAAAACAGAAAAGTGAAGACTGGGTCACAAAATGAAAAACATGAACTTGAAAAATTTACAGTAAAAAAGACACAGTGAATATTTCAAGTTCTGCTTAAAAGTCTTTTACAGAAAAAGTTTTATTGAATATTATACTCACCACCCAGCAGGCATTGCCGAGGTCAGCAATCTTAACCTGCAATTTGTCAGCATTGAGCGGGTCCAGGGGGTTTACTAACATGCTCCCTGTTGCTCCTGTTAAAGAGAGGAGCAGAAAGTGAAGCTGGTGTGTCTGCAGAGCAATTCTTTGCAGGATATTGTCAAGATAATTAATTATTGGATGGCATTAGCAATGTGCACTACAGAAAAACAAAAACAAACCTTACAACCCATATTCATTGCACCACACTGGCAAAAGTGATTTACTCCAAATCATTTTCCCAGTCTTCTTATGGGTTACCATCCTTAATACTGCAGTGTGGTAGTAGCCATGCAAAATATTGTTACCAATTTATTGATAAGAGGCATTGCATATCCAAGAGTATTACCGCCTTATAAACATGAGGTATGTCTCTGCCAACCAGTTAAGTTGTACTCTGTCCAGACGTCTCCTTTTAGAAAAGATGTCGCCACTTTATTTGAACCCATAATTAAAGTCAGAAATCATGTTTAAAGATGTGATAATGATGTCTGAACACCATACTCTAATCAGTTCATCATTAAGTGAACTTTCACCCTAATTTGAAGAATATTCTAAATGGACGTATACATATCTGACAACCAAAAAACATGATTCTTCTGGTCTCAGCTCCTGTAAACACTGTATTTTAGATATCAATTTCTTAATACACATTAATATCCCCCAAACTAACCATCCTGGCTGTTCTCTTCTTCATTTTCTCTTTTGGTCTCCTTTAGAGTGTCCATCTGCTCCTCTATCTTGTCTCCCTCTTTTAGCTCTACAGTGACAGAG